CCTGTTATTTGGAATGCGCTTCTACAAAAATATATGTTCGTAACAGTGACTGACTGAAAGGCGTTTAAAACTATTAATCAGAAGGTCGCATATTCAACCCCTGCATAGGCGATGCAGGTTGCAATGCATCAAAAACTCAATTCGAGCTTGATGTAGGACATGTACATGTTCAAGTAATGGGTTGGTAGACAGTTATGTTAGAATTTTTAACTAATTATACCAAAATGTACTGATACAACCCATTATTTGGTAATCCGATTGTGTGCTGGACAGAAGACATTGAAATATGCTTCATATATGGATGTATGGCGTTCCTACAGATCTTTTGTGAAAATATGACCTCTCGAGAAAAAGTCTATAGAGAGAATACCTCTTAAGATGTCTTTTATTGATAGGTCTGCCACGAATAGAAGACCTTTATAAAGAAGTAGATAAAAAGGTAAGAAGTCTTCTATAGCTTGACGATTTTCCTTTTATGGATAGAAGACCTTGGAACAAGTCTAAATAATTCACAATTTTATAAGGAGCCACTGTACCCCAAATAGAGTCATATATTTAATTTCTATCTCCTCCTTCCCTTACTTCCCTTCCCAACTCCAAAAAAAAAAAACATTTCAAACAAGACAAATAGTTTGGGTCACAGGGGAGACACTACTTAAAAAACAAAAACGCGCGCTCGCACTCACTCCACAAACCTGACAATAATTTCTATGTAAATCGATTGTGAATGAGTTCATAATCGGTTTATTGCCTCCCCCTCCACTGGAGATCTTCTTAATTTTGTATACTGCAACAAGATGGCCATTAAGAAAAAAAGCGGGAGATACATGAAATTTAAACTGAAATGTTTCGAAATCGAAAGTCTTAAGGTGATTGTAGAGAGGGGATTACAATGTCAATATTGATAGCTGCCTCTGATGCCGTTGATGCTACGTCTCGCTAACGAAGGAAAGGATTAGAAATGTAAGCTTGCCAAGAATTAGTTCCACTTTTGATTTCATTCAACGATAAAAAATAACGACAACACCGGCCCATAATCATGTTACATGGCCACTTTCATATCAATTGAATGGCTGTGTTAAAGATTGTTCAAATAAATATTCAAAATAGAAAATAGAAAAAAAAAAATTTCTACATTTCTATTTAATTACCTATGGAGAAGAAACCCACGCATGGCATGGCAAGAAGAAATGTGTCGTAAAGGTTGTCCCGCCATAAGTATGTGTGTGGGGTAAGCTAGACGAGTGAGTACATCTTCTGAAAGTTAAACTTTCTAGTATTCTTTATACCCTACAACACTATGTGTTGGGGGTATTATAAGTTTGATTGGGCCAAAAATTATGTAACACCACGAAATATTGATTTCCCACATAGGAAAGTATATATGGATCTTCCTAGCTCGCCGAGCTGAGTCGATCTAGCTATGTATGTCCGTCCGTCCGTCTGTCCGTCTGTCCATGTTAATTTGTAATCACTCTACAGGTCGCAATTATGGCCCGATTTTCACGAAATTTAGAATGGAGGTGGGGCTAGGGTCAGAATAGAACCCTATTTCTTGTGGAGATGATCGCCAAATGTTTAGGGGTTGAAATGGACCAAATACTGAAAAAATGTCGGATTTTGCAGTAGCTATACAGGTCGCAATTATAGACCAATCGACGCGAAATTTCGCATGTAGCTAGAGTTTAGGGCGGGGAAGAAGCCTACCGAATTGGGTGGTCATCGGATAATAATTAGCGGGTAAAATAGGCCATATCTTTTTTGTTGAAAAAATTCAAAATTTTTCATAAAACCGCGAATATTTTAAATCCCGGCGAAATCACAAAGCCATGACAAGGTTACTTCTGATCTTTACATTGATGTTAAGATCCAAAAAATCGAATATATAGCAAATATATGCGATATATATGTCTATCAAAGAAGATATGCTTGAAAGATCTCATATATGTCGAGAACGGCTGAACTGATTTCGACAGTTCTCATTAATTCAGAATGGCCTCTTGGCAGGAAAGGAAAAACGTCTAAAAAACACATACAAATATCTCTCTAAAGATGAAAATAATGGTTTTGTAATATTTTCTCATATTTTTTCAATTTTGTCATATTTTTGGCATATTTTCATTTTGAATTAAACATTTGGTAATATTTCTACAGCTAACAAAACTAAGTAGTTAGGATATCAGGATATCATATACAGATCGTAATTATGGCCCGATCCTTACGAAATTTTGCATGGGGATAAGATGAGGGGCAGAATAGAAGCCTACTCTTTTTGGAGATGATCGTCATATATTTAAGGGTTGAAATGGACCAAAAAAGTGCAAAATTGTCAGCAGGTCGTAATTATCGCCCGATCTTCACGTACATTTGAATGGGGGTTACCGGACATTGCAAAAGCCAAGCAGTTTTGGATGGCCATCCAAAAATATTAAATGTGTAAAGGAGTTTGCCAACTTTTGTAGACAAAATACGAAAATGTCCATTCCAGTGACTTTTTGGAGAATTCACAAATACAGGAAAGACGCACTTCTGACTATTTCGTTAACGCTGATTTCGTTGAAGAATGTAGTCAAATGTCTGTATCTCATATAAACGCGTTTCAGTCAAAAACCAATAATAAATGTTAATCTTTTGCCACTTCTGAGAGATTATAGGTCTTTGGGAAATATTGGTTCCAGATCTAGGAAGACCATTTACGTGCAACTACCATGCAACTACCAATAAATTGGAAATGAGCAAATTAGTTTGAGTTGCTATTATTCGAAAATTAGAGAACGAAACCTGATGGTTTTCTTTTATTATTTGTCACAATATCTTGTGGAATTCATTCGAGTGTCTCGCCTACATAAACTGTGTCGTTTATTATAGTGTTGTAGGGTATTCAACGGTCGGCCCCGCTCGACTGTAGCCTTTGCTTACTTGTTTTTATATATTTTATTGTATAAAATCTTCGTACATACTTAGACGATTTTTTATGAAGTGGCTTTCTAAGGAAAAACAAGCTTTTTAAGAATTTTTATATATGTTTTTATATAAAAACACAATTAACGAGAATTTTAAAAAATTGTTTTTTGTTACCGGAAATTTTTTAAGAATATTTTCCTAGATTCCTGCCAATATTTTTTTTAAAGAACATTTCACCTAAAGTTTTTAAGTATATTATTCTTAAAAGGGAAGAAAAGTGGTACTTTTTTTTGAAAATATCTAGTAAAGTCCCAGCAAGACGGAGTTTTTTTAAAGATCCAGTAGCGCTGAATTAATTTTTTTTCGTAGTGTCCAACAACGTGCTCAACATTTTGCCAAAAGTCCTAGCTACGATGATTTTTTAAAAACATTATTTCTAAAGTTTTAGAAAAGTAGTTTTTTAAAGAACATTTCTTCTAATTCCCGAGCACCGATGGCTTTTTAAAGAACATTGTTCCTAATGTTACAACAGTTTTCCTAAAATTAATGAAACGTGCATTTTTTAGGAACAGTTTTCCTAAAATTAATAAAACTTGCATTTTTTTAGGAACAGTTTTCATAAAATTAATGAAACGTGCACATTTTAAAGAACAGTTTTCGTAAAATTAATGAAATGTGGATTTTTTAAAGAACAATTTTCCTAAAATTAATGAAACGTGGACGTTTTAAGAACAGTTTTCCTAAAATTAATGAAACGTGGATATTTTAAAGAACAGTTCTCCTAAAATTAATGAAAGGTGGATATTTTAAAGAACAGTTTTCGTAAAATTAATGAAATATGGATTTTTTTAAAGAAGAATTTTCCTAAAATTAATGAAACGTGGATATTTAAAAGAACAGTTTTCCTAAAATTAATGACACGTGGCTTTTGTAAAGAACACTTTTCCTAAAATTAATGAAACGTGGATATTTTAAAGAACACTTTTCCTAAAATTAATGAACAGATTTCCTAAATGTAATGAAACTTGGATTTTTTAAAGAACAATTTTTCTAAAATTAGTGAAACGTGGATTTTTTTAAACAACAGTTTTCCTGTAAATAATGAAATGTGGATTTTTAAAAGAACAGTTTTCCTAAAATTAGTGAAACGTGGATTTTTTTAAAGAACAGTTTTCCTGTAAATAATGAAATGTGGATTTTTAAAAGAACAGTTTTCCTAAAATTAGTGAAACGTGGATTTTTTTAAAGAACAGTTTTCCTAAAATTAGTGAAACATGAACTTTTTAAAGAACATTTTTTCTACGGCTTATGAAACCCGGACTTTTTAAAGAACATTTTTCCTACAATTAATGAAACCTGGACTTTTTAAAGAACATTTTTTCTACAATTAATGAAATATGGACTTTTTAAATAACATTTTTCTCACGGCTTATGAAACCTGGACTTTTTAAAGAACATTTTTCGTATCGTTTATGTAACGTGTATTTTTTACGGAACATTTCTCCTAGAACATTTTCCCAAAGTTGATGAAACCTGGATTTTTTAAAGTACATTATTCCTACGGTTTATGGAATGGGATTTTTTTAAAGAACATTTTCCTTCGTTTTATGAAACGTGGATTTTTTAAAGAACATTTTTCCTTCGTTTTATGAAACGTGGATTTTTTTAAAAACCATTTTTCCTTCGTTTTATGGAACGTGGATGTTTTTAAATAATATTCTTCCTCCGTTCTATGAAACCTGGACTTTTTAAGGAACATTTTTCCTACGGTTTATGAAATCTGGAATCTTTGAAATCTTTTTTGAAGAATATTTTTCCTAAAATGTATGAAATTTGTATTTTTCAAAAAACATTTTTCGTACGATTTATGAAACGTGGATTTTTTGAATAATAATAATACGGAACACTTTTCTTAAGGTTTATGAAACGTACATTTTTAAGAACATTTTTCCTCAGTTTTATGGTATCTGTTCCTTTTTAAGAACATTTTTTCTACGTTTTATGAAACGTGGATATTTTTTAAGAACATTTTTCGTAAGGTTTATGTATCGCAGATTATTTAAAGAACATTTTTCTCAATTCGTGTTTGAACTTACCTGTATTTTGTTTTGTATCCAATTGCAAGTTTCTGGTTGCTGTATGTGATGGTGATGGTGGTGCATCGTAATCCGGCACATTAACATCGTTCTGCTCGACACTCGTTAAATCCATGGTTTTAATCGAAGATGACACTGATGTTGATGATGCCGCTGAATCATATAAATCCGTAAAATTATTCAAGGCAAACAAACCCGCACTGCGGTATTCTTTGTGATGTAATGAAGCACCGTTGCTTAATTTTAAACACGTCGAAGAAAGTATCAATAAAAATGCCAATTTCCAAGGAAAGCCACAAATAAATATTCGGCCAATTTTCAGCAACAACAAGCCATCTTGATCCAATAATACATTGGAATCTCGACAATTTTGTGAGTGGTAATGATGGCATTGTGGACCATGATGATGAAGACGATGATGGCACGAATGGCTATGGAGGTCGCCTTTGGTAATTGGCTCTGTAGGTTGATTATAATTAGTTATTTTAAAGGTATTTAGCGTTGCCATATTTATGGTGTGATGAAAAATTTTTGATTTCGTAGATATTTTTTTTTAATTAATTGAATTTTTCTTATAAAACTAATTTTTGTGACTTCATTTATAGAAATTTTTTCCAATATTTGTTTTTTTATTTAATTTCACTTTCTGGTATTTTTTTCTTTTATTTCTTCTGTCATTCTTTTAATATTTGTTTTGAATTGCTTTTATTTTTCTTTGCATCGACAATCAACATTATTTGGACTTTGCCATAGCCAGTTAAATGATGATGATGTTGGAAAAACGAAAAATCATTTAATTAAATTTCACGATGTTGACAAATTATGCCAACAATTAAAGATAATTGAGGCTAACTAAACACAAACGTTTTATTTATAACTCGATCGTTGTGGGTTTTTGCAGTCCATCGTTTGTTTCAATCATTGGCTGGATGAATGAATGAATGAAAGAGTGATGATGATTCGAGCAAAAATCCGTGAGACGCGGAGAGTTACCGACTGTTTTTGGCGCTTTGCTCTTTTGTGTATTTTAGCAAACAAGACTTAGACAATTATTCAATAATCAACAATTTGACAGTGACGTTTTCGGCTCTTCTCCCTTGTTTTTTTTTTTTTTTTTTTTTTGCTGTCACGTTAATTGATCATCTCCGAATTGGATGTGATCTTTTAATGATTCTATCATTTATTTTGTGTCAAATTTAAAATTGACACATGAAATTTTTTTGCCAAAATGAACATCAATTTCGCTTCCAAAACAAACAAAGACGACGCCAAGATGACACAAGGGCAAAATTTCTGGAAGATGGATGATTTTTGTCGAAGATCTGCAAATAAAGAAGTGATACAAAAGGTCTTTATTAAAAATAATATTTTAAAAATTTTTAAAGCAAGTTTTAAATAATTTTGAGAAGTTTAAGAACGTGGATTTGTTGAGAATATTTTGGAAGGACCATAAATAATATAACCTGGGTTATAAGAATATTTCGGGAACAACAGAACCAAAATAGCTATAGGAGTGGGTTTTGAAGAATTTTTTAAGGGAGGACCAAAAATATGATAAAGGTGGATTTTTTTAAAATTAAAAAAATATTTCGAAAAGGACTAACAAGGCAATGCGATTTTTAAGAATATTTTAAAAAGACCTTCAGGTATTTTAAAGTATACTTTTGAAGAATATTTTAGAAAGGATCCTCTGGAATTTAACGTGGATTTTTAAGAACAATTTGAAAATTAGCATCAGGAATATAAATGTGAAATTCCTAAGAATATTTTGAGAAGACCTCTGGTCTATTAACGTGAAGTTTTGAATATTATGAGAAGACCTCCAGGAAATTTTAACTGGATTTGACAAGCCCTTTACATGATGAGATAAAGAAATTGCAACAAAGTTAAACGCCATAATTTTTATTTTTTTTTTTTTTAATTTTATTGAATGAAAGCAAAAAATGTCGGAAATAGCATCAAATTTTAGAATAAGTCTAGATTTGTTCGAATTGGTCACCTTTGGCACGAGGTCATATGCCTTCAAACGGACAATGAAACCTTTACACGCTGCCCGAATGTTGCTCTGCGGTTTTTTGGCCCATTCCCGGCGAAGGGATTGAGGTGATCGACACTTTGGTATTTTTTAGTGCCAACCTTGCTTCCCAAAATACTCCAGACACAATAGTCCAACGGATTTGTATCCTGAGATTTTGGTAGCCATTGTGTGCTGGAAATGAAGCGTGGAACCTAATTTTGTAACCATTCTTGGGTGGCGCGTGCTGAGTGCGATGGTGCTGAGGCCTGTTGGAATGTCCAATGTCAGCGGCCAAAATGTTTGCGTGCCCAAGGCTTTAATACATCCTCCAGAATATTTTCGCGATAATATTCGGCATTTATTCTGATGTCACGGCCGATTAATACGAGCGGAGAGCGAACATGGCAGCCCGCACCGTCACCATGGCCGACGCTTGAGTTCTGGTGGCCAACCGAAGGTGCACATTTTCGGCTGACCTCCTTGGCAAGTAAACGCGATAATTTTGTTTGTTTAAAAAATGCTGGACAACGAATGTTTTCTCGGAAAACACTAAATTCGGCAGCTCACCACTCTCGGCAAACGAAGCAACTTCTTAGCTCTTTTGAATCTATTTTCTTTCTGTTGCGATGTAAGCTCTTCCACTTTTTGAAATTTCAATGGCTTTGCGCCGAGCTCACTTTTCTATATTTGCCGAATGGAATATTGCGATATGTACAGCTCACAAGCCATTTTTCAATCACTGCGACCCGCGTTTCGATCAAGTAGCTTCTTTACTCTTCGAAACATGTCTGCTGATGTTGCTGTTTTCTTCCGTCCACTTCCTTGACGTCGGGCTACGCTACCAGTATCACGGTAACGAGCGATGGTAGGAGACACAAAAGATTAATTCACATTTAAATCCTAGAATGCTCTAACCATAGCCACTTGTGGTTTTTCAGCCACATATAAAGAAATTACACTGTCACGCTTGAATTCCATCACTAATAACTTTTTTTCTGAAAAATTCTCACCAAAATGCTTTTGTACGCTTGTAAACAATATAATGAGCTGTCACCGGAATAATTTTAACAGCTGTCGAACGAATGGCTTGGAAATGACAGCCGTCTGAAGTTGGTTGCAGTTTTTTCATCTCACCCTGTATTCACCGGAATTGTTTCAAATTTGGTATTTGAAGTTCGTAATGGACAGAAAAGTTCAAGTCCACATTGTTTCAAATTTGGTATTCGAAGTTCGTAATGGACAGAAAAGTTCAGGTCCACATTTTGGTATAGCCACATGGTACCTCTCTATATTCGGTATTTTGATGATTATAGCTACCATTATTCACCGATTTTTTTTTTCAAGTTTCACATTTGAATATTGTAATGGCTTATGACAAAAGTTGCCTATGCAGATCCACATCGTTGTAAAGAACCTAAAAAAGTTGCTACTTTCGGTATTTTTTAGATTTTAACAGAATTTTTAACGGATTTTATTTATTTCTTTCCTTTTCTTTTTTTTTTTTTGAAAATTGCCAAATTTCGTTCCAAATGGTGGAGGGTACTCAAATTACGGCCCGGACGAACTTACAGCTTTTTTATTTGATTTTTAATTTTTTTGGGAAATATTAAAATATGTTCTCCGTTGACATGGATTTTTTATTTTTTTTTTCTTGGATTTTACAAAATTATTCTTTTATGTCTTTCGACATTTTTAAATAAATGTTTTAGTGCTGTCGCCGTAATTTAGTTTTAAATAAGACATTTAGAGGTGCTTTAAACATAGATAGTTTTAAGATATTTCTCTTTATTTAATTATTTCATAACCATTTATTGATTACAGCAATGGTGTCATACAACACATCCTACTCATTGTAAAACCGACAGAAGAAAAAAATATAAATATTAAAAAAGTATTAATCCCATTTAATTATGCTTTTCTCACAAGAATAAAACTTGACTATAAAATTAGCCAGATGTCTGGCTGGCCAATAAACTGGAAAGAATTATTCATAATTTATGACATGGTCATAAAGTTATGTCTTATTGATAATCTTCCACAAACACAAAAAAACTACAACGGGCAAAAGTATCTTCTTATTCTTCAAACGTAAAGAGCGAGGGAAAGAGAGAGAGAACGAGGCATACAGAAAGTGAAGACTTCCCACAAAAAAGTAGCACTCATCCGATCTTAAGCCCATTTGTTTGGAGATAAAATGGTAAATATAATTTTTATGGCCCACCATTGTCATAATTATTAAGCCTCCGGATCTCTTTCTATCTTCTGTGTAATGAAAGCTTAAACAATTAAAAATTATGCTGCTTTTGTGTGTTTTGTATTATCTATGCTTATGTTTTTTATTGTTGATATAAGTTTAAACAAAAGACACCATGTGTAGAGTTACAAAACCGTTGGAAGCTGGCAAATGTTACTACTACTGTTTTGAAAGTAAATGAATGGATTTCAATAAAATGCTAGATTTTATAAACATTTGTTTATGTTTTATGTCGAGTGTTCATTTTTGTGAAGTTACAAAGTTTGTTCTCTCTCTGAAAGTGAGTAAGAGGATGTATTTACACCCAGGAAAAACAACTTCTGCATTCCAAGCAACTTTTTGAAATTGCATTTTTCCATCCCTGACCCAAAATTACAAAAGTGTTACTTTTATGGTATTTTAACAAAGTGTACAATTTATTGTTTTTAATATTTTCATTTTTCTTTTTATTCCTCACTGACCATTTACCACCTTCCCCAGAAAAAAAAAACGAAACAAACCACTAAAAGAGAAGGTAATAATTTTGTTTTGATGTCGTCGTAAATAAATGGATTTTCACTTTCATTAAAAACTCAACAGAGAAATTTGCAATAATTTGCCAAAAGTAGGTGTTTTAAAATAAATGGGCTTATTTAAAATAAAAAAAAAAACAGCAACAAAGTTAGTAAGTCAGATGTAAGGAGCCTTTAGCTAATTAACATTAAATATTGTTTTTATTTTTTGTTTTTATTTCTACACTCTTTTACAATAGCTAATTATTATACCCTCCACCATAGTATGTAGGGTATATTAAGTTGGTGATTTAAGCGACATTATTCACCGGAATTGTTTCAAATTTGGTATTTAATGTTCGTAATGGATACTACAGCCTATGACAGAAAATTGTCTATGCAGGTTCACGTCTTCGTATAGCCTCCATATAACAGTAACTCCCGATATTCGGTACTTTGATGATTTTAGCTATATTATTCATCGATTTTTTTTCAAGTTTCGCAGGTCCACGTCGTCGTATAGATACTAATATAACGGCTACATTCGGTATTATTAAGATTTTAACAGAATTTTTGCGGATTTTATTTTTTGAAAATTGATAAATTCGTTCCAAATGGTGGAGGGTGTTCAAAGTTCGGACCGGGCGAACTTACAGCTCTTTTACTTGTTATAAACATTTTATTCAGTTTTTCGAAATGTTCACATTTAAATCTTACAACAGAATGTGTTGGGGGTATTATAAGTTTGACTGGACAAAAAAGTTTCTAACATATCGAAATCTTGGTTTTAGATCCTTGATGTTATATATCGATCGAAATCCTTATTCCAATCTCGCCGAGCTGAGTCGATCCAGCGATGTGTGTCCATCCGTCTGTCAGTCCATGTTAATTTAACGTTAACGTTACTGGTCGTAATTATGGTCCGATTCACACGAAATTTCATGGAGTTTCGGTCAGAATAGAAGCCTATTTTTGGGTAGATGATCGCAAAATATTTAAGGATTGAAATGGACTAACAGCGGGAAAATCTCTTCATATCACAATTGCACACCGATCGACGTGGAATTTTGCACGGGTTAAGAGTATCTTTACATAATGTTTAGAAGGTAAAATGGACCAAAAACCAGTTAGTTTCTACACATGTAACTCAATAACGGCTGAATTGATTTTGACAATTCTCCCCAATTCGAAATGGCCTCTTGGCTAATAAGCGCAAAGTTTAAAAAAATCGCGTAAATATTTGCTATTGTAAGTATCTTTTTATTTGTTGTCATATTTTTTAAACCCTCCACATAGTATGGATGGTATATTAAGTTCGTCATTCCGTTTGCAACTCATCGAAATAATTTTAGACCCAACAAAGTATATATATATATATATTCTTGATCAGTGTAAAGTTCTAAAACGATTTAGCCCTGTCCGTCCGTCCGCCTGTTGTAATTTCGCTAGAGTCAAAGGAATAAATATAGAAAGCTAAATTTGCACCGATCTGTCTTTGGTTTGCAGGCAGGTCAAGTTCGAAGATGGGCTATATCGATCCAAGATATATAGCGTATAGCC